AGTGTACTCCCTCTATTAGATTCTACCAAACTATCACTTCTTGTTAGACAGTGACCAAGTGTTACTCCCTCTATTAGATTCTACCAAACAATCACTTCTTGTTAGACAGTGACCAAGTGTTACTCCCTCTATTGGATTCTATCAAACAATCACTTCTTGTTAGACAGTGACCAAGTGTTACTCCCTCTATTAGATTCTACCAAACTATCACTTCTTGTTAGACAGTGACCAAGTGTTACTCCCTCTATTAGATTCTACCAAACTATTACTTCTTGTTAGACAGTGACCAAGTGTTACTCCCTCTATTAGATTCTACCAAACCATCACTTCTTGTTAGACAGTGACCAAGTGTGACTCCCTCTATTAGATTCCACCAAACCATCACTTCTTGTTAGACAGTGACCAAGTGTGACTCCCTCTATTAGATTCTACCAAACCATCATTTATTGTTAGACAATGACCAAGTGTTACTCCCTCTATTCAATTCTATCAAACAATCACTTCTTGTTAGACAGTGACCAAGCGTGACTTCCTCTATTAGATTTTATGAAACCATCACTTCTTGGTAGGCAGTAACCAAGTGTGACTCCCTATGAAGTGATGGTTTGGTAGAATCTAATTTGTTAGACAGTGACCAAGTGTTACTACCTCTATTAGATTCTACCAAACTATCACTTCTTGTTAGACAGTGACCAAGTGTGACTCCCTCTATTGGATTCTACCAAACAATCACTTCTTGTTATACATTGACCAAGTGTGACTCCCTCTATTAGATTCTACCAAACAATCACTTCTTGTTAGACAGTGACCAAGTGTGACTCCCTCTATTGGGTTCTACCAAACAATCACTTCTTGTTATACAATGACCAAGTGTGACTCCCTCTATTTGATTCTACCAATGTTAATAGCTTGTAGTAAGAGTATTATGAAAAGGTAAACTTCTGACAGTACTAATAACTTGTAGTAAGAGTATTATGAAAAGGTAAACTTCTGACAGTGTTAATAACTTATAGTAACTACCAGCTATTAACACTGTCAGAAGTTTACCTTTTTCATAATACTCCTTTTCATAATACTCTTGGTAAACTTCTGACAGTGTTAATAACTTGTAGGAAGTTTACCTTTTTCATAATACTCTTAGACAGTGTTAATAACTTGTAGTAAGAGTATTATGAAAAAGGTAAACTTCCGACAGTGTTAATAGCTGGTAGTAAGAGTATTATGAAAAGGTAAACTTCCGACAGTGTTAATAACTTGTAGTAAGAGTATTATGAAAAAGGTAAACTTCCAACAGTGTTAATAACTTGTAGTAAGAGTTTTGTAAGATTTATTATTCTTTACATGAATTTTATAATTGTTATGTTCATTATAATAATGAAGTAATTAATAATAATTCTGTATTATTGAATAAATGTAGACAAATCTATATTGTTGAAAAACTGTAAATCTGTTTTCATGTATTTAGTGGATTTATGTAAAACAAACAAAGAAAGTTTTAAAGAAAGAATCTGTTTTACAATAAGTAAGTAACAGAAGATTATGGACTGTAAGAGTTAACAGTTTGAAAGGATTTAATTTTGTATAATTTTGTTTCAAGGCAATGTTTGAAGATGATAGTAAATCAGTTAATCCAACTGACGACCCAGTTTTTCAATCAGAACATAGTTATCAGTTTGTCCAGCCTCAGTGGAAAGGCGATCTTAGAACAACAGTCCCTTCTAATGGTCAGTGTCATCATTAATATTGGTTTTTGTCATTTAGATGATGAATTTAATAGAACTGTGTGTCAGTGTGATAATTTCATGGTGTCCTTCTGAAGACATTTTTGTGTTAAACTGAAACAAGGAAAAGTTGAAGGGTTTAATAAATTAAGTTTGTTGTTATATTGAAATCAGGATTTTACATAGTTTTCAGAAACAAATCTAATTCAGTTGTTTCATTTAATCTTATTTGATTAAGTTTCATTAAAATATCTTCAGTTTGACAACTGAAATGTGCTTTAAACTGTTTAAAGTTAGGTTACGCAGCCGAGCATGAAAGTTCAAATAAAGTCGAGTAGCTGTTTCCTGATTGTTTCCTTCATTTGAAGGATTAGACTATGCCACGGGTGAAGGAGACTCTTCTAGTCCTTCAAACAAAGCCTACATTAAACAATCAACAAACAGCTGCTGGACTTTATTCACCATGTAGATAGCTGAACTTTATATAAATAAGGTTGTGGTTATCAAATATAAATGATTGTCATGGTTAGTTGCCGATACAACGATCTAAGTCTAACTGTTAATTAGAAACTGAGAACCCTAGTACTTCTGTTTCCTCGAAGACGTCAGCAGCTGAAGTGTCCAGTGACTATTTTATACGTGTTATGTAACGTATACCATATGGACCACGAGCCATGGCAACAAATGAAACCTCTTTCAACACTTGCCTTAAACAAATTTACTGTACAACATCCCAGCCATAGGCCTACTTCAGATACACAACAGTAACTAACTGCTATTAAGTTAACAACATCCCAGCCATAGGTTTACTTCAGATACACAACAGTAACTAACTGCTATTAAGTTAACAACATCCCAGCCATAGGCCTACTTCAGATACACAACAGTAACTAACTGCTATTAAGTTAACAACATCCCAGCCATAGGCCTACTTCAGATACACAACAGTAACTAACTGCTATTAAGTTGAACCTGAAGTAGATGTACATAGTACTTGTATAAGAATGATAAGCATTACTTGATGAGGAAAAACAAAACTGAAACACTTGTTATAAATTTACAGTACTCACTTCAATCATGGTTATCATTCTTAGACAAGTACTCACTTCAATCATGGTTATCATTCGTAGACAAGTACCAACTTCAATCATGGTTATCATTCTTAGACAAGTACTAACTTTAATCATGGTTATCATTCTTAGACAAGTACTAACTTCAATCATGGTTATCATCCGTAGACAAGTACTAACTTCAATCATGGTTATCATTCTTAGACAAGTCCTCACTTCAATCATGGTTATCATTCTTAGACAAGTCCTCACTTCAATCATGGTTGTCATTCGTAGACAAGTCCTCACTTCAATCATGGTTATCATTCTTAGACAAGTACTAACTTCAATCACAGTTGTCATTCTCAGACAAGTACTAACTTCAATCATGGTTATCATTAGTAGACAAGTACTCACTTCATTCATGGTTGTCATTCATAGACAAGTACCAACTTCATTCATGGTTGTCATTCATAGACAAGTACCAACTTCATTCATGGTTGTCATTCGTAGACAAGTACCAACTTCATTCATGGTTGTCATTTGTAGACAAGTACCAATTTTATTCAGTGGACTTAAAAATAACTTACTATTTTTTCTACACAGTATCCTCAACTACTACTTACCAGAAAATTTGGTCCCAGAGAGACAACAGAGAACCTTCTGTTAGGGATAATTACGTGTCCCATAGCCCAACAGAAGATAATGTTTGGGCTAGAGGAGAGATGATCCGGGCAAGTCGCAAGCCTCAGGGATTGGACCACCAGCCTTTTGGAGAAACTTTGAATGTTAATGGACGGGAGACCGTTACTGGTGAGTTACATTAAATGTAACTTAGAATAGTAGGAAGGTTTATGTAACTGTCTCATGCAAGAGTTTGTGTGTGGACATATAACATGGAGAAATAAAATGCTTCCCCAAGGCAAACATACAGGTAACTTTTGTACAAGTTTTAGTGAATAGAAAATATCCAAAATGGAGACTGAAATGTTGCCCAAAAAAAACATTCACAGGTAACATTTGTCTTATTTTATGTGGACTGAACATATCCATTATGGAGACTGAAATGTTGCCCAAAAAAAACATTTACAGGTAACATTTGTCTTATTTTATGTGGACTGAACATATCCAAAATGGAGACTGAAATGTTGCCTAAAAAAACATTTACATGTAACATTTGTCTTATTTTATGTGGATAGAAAATATACAAAATGGAGACTGACATTTTGCCCCAAAACTATAAATAGATAATTTTTGTCCTATTTTGTGTGGACATGAAGGACACTGGAATGCTGCTTAAGGAAAAAAACATGTACAGGTAACTTTTATCTGTCTGTACCTGATGATGCCTTTACTTTTGAATAAATAGTTTTTTGTGAAATGTTTAATTGTCTATATTTTCTCCGATTCTGTAATTATGGAGTTTCACCAAGTATCAATTATATTCACAGAGAACCTGTTTTCCTGACACTTCTTTCTTGAAATGTCATGGTATAAGAAGTACTTGGAGTTCTGTTCATTGAATTGGTTATTTTAACATGGTAGTTATTATGTTTAGAAATGATGAGTTACTTACTAGAATTTAAGTTTCTGATAAGTTTATTCTGCTTGTATACAACTTTGTATTCAAGTAATGAATTTTATGGTATAAATATCGTTCCCAGTTTTCATCATTTCAAATACAGATAAGTTATGAAGTTTTGTGTAATTGTCATTTAAGCCTCAGTTTTACCTTTCGCATGTTCTTCATGTTCCAGAGGTGTGTTGAAATAACTAGTGGGTCAGGTTACCTATCGCTGGGCTCATGATGGACATACTCCACACATTTGATAATCCTTCTATTTTTTTTTTTCCCAAGAACTTGACAAAGGCCTTTGTTTGCAGATTCTGCTTGCTGTCTGCTTTCATTCTGTCAGTAGTTCACAATTACAATGGCTATACCTAATGGTTTCTAACCTGGGTTTTAAGTCTGTGTGAGCATAAGGGACCCGTCACAATCTTTAATAACTAAATCATTAATTGTTTAAATATCACTTTTGATAAGCCCTGTAGTCAAGAATATAAGTATCACTTCTGTTAAGCTGAATATTAAAGTGTGTAGATCTGTGTACAAATATTGAATTATTCAAACCTTGTACAGGGTTAATTACTCTTTATTTAAACAACTTATTTCTGATACTGTAGTGGCGTATTGTCTTAGATAAAAGCTGTAGTTCTGCAGACATCGTATTCGGTACCTCTAGTTCATTCAGGATGACCCTCTATCATTAGACAGAATACAAATGCTCCAAGGTTATTAAAATAATAAGAGATAAAGAATGCATTATTTTGAAGGAGGGAGTTTTCAGAGCAACTTGCACAGCAGAGCATTTAGGACAACATGGGGCTTCAAACCACACCCAAAACTAAACATGATAAAGAGAACCTTCCAACCCAAAACTAAACATGCTAAAGGGAACCTTCCAACCCAAAACTAAAAGGGAACCTTCCAACCCAAACTAAACATGCTAAAGGGAACCTTCCAACCCAAAACTAAAAGGGAACCTTCCAACCCAA